CATTTATTTTGCTTTGAGCATTGGTTACTAGTTGAACGCTATAATTATTGTACGAAAGGCTAAACAGTAAATCCCAGTATTATAAGTAGGTGTAGCAGGCTGAGGGGGAGGAGTGAAAAAAAGATTAGATATAATGGAATAATTAGAGTGCATCAGGTAAACAAGTGAACAGTTATCTTTTTCTTTTGACTTTCATTAGCTAATATAAGGTCCATAAAGGAATCAACTACTGTAAAATCAACTTGCTTGGGTCTTTAGCCTAAGTACTTACAGTGTAAAAGAACTTGAGGAACTTTTGCAGAAATGAAGAAAGAATTGCTTATGGTCAACTTCAGTGTTCAATGTGTCCCTGAAACAGGCATATTCAAAGGCTTGGGCTCTGATCCAAATCGCATGTCAGTAGGATTGTTCAGACTTCGGAGACCTTGCTTAGGCCCTTGGAGAGTTACGTGTATGCTCTATTTCTTCAGTGTGGAGTGGAGAAGTTGCTGAGAGCTCACCAAGTTTTCCACCTCTCCAGTTTCCTTACTCCTAAGATTTCCCAGAGGAGAAGGCAATGTACAAACAACCCCCCACCACATACGATGCTGTAACTTTCTAAGATTTGGGATTAATTTCTGCCAACATTGTCTTGCTAAGTATTTCTCATAGGCCAGCTATCATAGATTGTAATGTGGAGATGTATGCACGCACCTCACTTTACAGCTTAGAGGGAGAAAAATGGTGAAGGAGGATCATATGCTGAGCACTTAGGAACTGACAAGTGGCAGTAGCAAGAGCAGTGAAGTGTTTTAAAACAGGCAAATGCTGCCTGGATAATGCAATCATCCATCTGGGCAGGAAGCCTGTATGACCACATACAGGTTCAGCTTGTTAGCCATCGTGTTTTCCTGTGCTTGGGAGAAAGTGAGTAATTTGATACGTGGACCACAGATTTGGAAAGTCTTGTTTCTGAAGTCTTTGGCCTTTGGTAGGAATGCAGCTGCTATTACTGAAGTATCATTGCCTCTCTCTGCAGAATCTCTCAAACTAAATGCTGTATATTTTCCTTTTCAAAAAGAAGGTGCTGTTTTGCATGACTCCCTACACTAAAAACAGCAAGCCATTTCTTCTGCCAAAAATTGTTAAATATGGATGTGACAGGAACAAAGGGAGGAAACAATCAAGGACGTAGAGGCTGTAGTCCTTATTCTCCAGTGACTCCTGGTATGACATGGAAAGAGTCACTCAACTTCTCTGTGTCTCAATTTCCCATCTGTAAAATGGGGTTAAAATACCTACCTCACAGGGGTGTTGTGAGGCTTTTAAAAATAATGTTTGTAAAGTGCTTTGAGATCCTTGGATGAAAGGTGCAATAAGAAATCAAATTATTCACTTTTATTAGTGCAATACAAGAGTGCACTTCTGTTGAGATGGCTCAAGGCTTCCAGCTCTTGATAGCTGTTCCACATACTCTTCACTATAATTTCCCTGCTGTCATTTGTTAATATCTGCTGGGAGTTAAAAAGAACAAATTTTGCAATCAAGAATACCTGAATTGTCACAGTATTGTGCAGATGAGGGCTAAAATAATATGATTTTCTTTTTAAACTGTGTTGCATATTCCTGTCCGTGCAACCCTGAAGCTAACAGAAAAACGATACACGATAACGTCTGCTCATCACCTGAACTGGCTAACCTGTGTCTTTTTGAGATAAACTCAGCCTCTTCGCCAAATAAAACTCTGCGATTTGGATCAATGGTTACAAAACTCATGTAAGGGGTAGAGTAGGTGTTTTAGTCCTGTATGCTTTGCAGTCATTTAACAAGCAGCCATTAAACAGGACAGTGTAAAAGTAGTTATCAAGTTAAAGGTTAAATCTTAAGAATCGTAGAAATGTGAAATGAAAGGAAGATTAGATTTTACAGAGCTGAATCAAAGAAAAAGCACATAGGTTCATGTAGAGCTGCTGGGCTAACATACTTTCCAGAAGACCCTTAAATAATACACAAAGTAATTCAGTACTTAAAATTTCACTTTAATTAACAAGTGACACAGGTGCTTCACTAGTGCAGGCTCAGCATCCAACAGTCTCTTATTGAGGAGATGACATAGTATACATAAATATCCTTTTCGTTACAATTAACTGCTGCATGGAGATAAGAAACATGAGCAAAAGAGTTGCTAAAGAAAGTAGATGCAAGAAAAGGCCAAAAATTAAGAGGCAGAATGAAACTTGATTAAAATATTTTGTTTTCCTGCCTCTCTCATCCGGGATTCATGCTTTACACTTTTTTCTCCTCCACCACCTTTTTTTCTTCTTCTTTTTAGGATTGAACGGGCAGGAGAACTGAAAAGGATATAACCAAACAAACAGAATAAAAAAATATTGTAGTTACAGCTTTCACCCAGCTTCACCTACTCAAAAGGAATTTACATGTCGTCACTCATACAGTATGTGATTCATATTTTGACTTCTCACTGTTGTGGAGGCAAATTATAACATATTCCTCCCATTGGTGATCATTTACACAACTCTCATTCATGTAAAAATAAACACAACCCCCCTTTTTCAAAAAACAACCCCTGTAACTTCTCACATTTCAAAAGTTGGCCTAGAATAGTTACTGAGTACCTGAACAGTTCTCTGGGTGGCTTGAGAAAATATGGTTTTTTCCTACTCTTTATTTCAGTATCCTGTTAGAGCTAGATTTGGACTGATTATACCAGTGTTTGTAGATATCTCATCCTAAACTTGAAGGCACTGGCAATTTTGGAGCTATAGCTCAATGCTTCTTTAATTACTTTGATGTTCCTTCTGTTACATCTGACTGCCCATCAGACGTAGTTACAAGAAGCACCCACACAAGCAGCAGTTTCTACTGAACAGGCTACTTCACCTCAGGTTTTATCCTTAATATTTAAATTAATGTGGGATTTGTTTGTATATTTCACTTTAGGAAATTATTAGTAGTATATTAAAACATTTTCAGATAGCACAAACTAATTATCCAGTAATCCTTAACTGCCTACTTCTATGCAGTCATTCAAGATGGAATTTTTTCAAATAGGAAGTGTAAGTGGCATCCCTTACTTTTACACTGGAAATCTGATACTCTGATATGCTTAATTTTTGAGGGACTGAAACATAAATATGAATTATGATTTCCTTGAGAACAACAGCAACTAAAATAAAACCACCTTTGATGATAAATAGGTAATGCACTATTGACTTGGGATATCTTGTCTTGTAAAAATACCATACATCCTTCCATATTAATTATCTTACCAGTGTATTCAAGTTGATAATATATATTATATAATATTTTACCCTTAGAGCATTTTTTTCCCTAGATGTAGCCTAGTCATCTACCAGTTCTGCTGCTTAACTACAGCCTACTATCATCCCAGGATCCCTAACCACTGTGTAGAAGGAATACTATCTTGTGGCTGAAATATTAATTATTGTGCTGTTGAGCTTTGTATTTAAAACTCTGATTTATTATCTTGTCCACTGACAGAAAAAAGATTTTTATCAAAAAATATTTCCTAACATCAAAATGTTAGTGTACAAGCCACCTATTACCTGAAATTTCCCACTTTGGTTTGTTTCACCCAAAACACGAGTCACACTTTAGAAAATGCTACGTGTTTAGGTGTACCAGTGTTGAAAATCCATCTGAGCTGAAAAGATGCTATCAGAAGCTGACTAGCTCTTGAGCAGGTGTTAATTGTCCTAGCTCTACTGGTTTCTTTCAATTTGCACCAGCTGAAAAACTGGCCTAGCATGTCAATGCAATGACAGGTGTAGGACTTTCTTTTCCAGTTGTGATGCAAAACATTTAAATATTGCTTGAGTAGCTGATTATCAAAATACAATTTATGAGACGTTCATTAGTAAATAATGATGAATGTGTATGTGTTTTAAGAATGGGTCCAATAACTTCTGAGTGAATAATGAGATATCAGAAAATGCTCTCTGGATGATATTCATCTGACCAAATGTGGATATCTTTAAGGTAGGCATCTAATCTGAGTCCCTTTGTTGTCAATGAAGAGAAACAGGCACTCCTGGTAGTTACTAATTTTATTCTATCTTAACCAGATCAGGTGGCCTATATCCTTAAAGTGTCTGCTTCTCTTACTGACTCAGGACGGGAACATCAGTTAACTTACTCAGATGCAGATGCCTGCCTTGCTCGTGTCTAAAGTTAGGTGAGATGAACCTCACCTTCAGAGCCTCACATTGGCTCCATCTTATTAAGTTGTCCCTCTGTTATTCAACAGTTACTAAAACAAAGCTAAGTAAAATGTGGTAACTCTGCACCATTATAGAATCATAGAATCACAGGACAGTTGATAACAGCCCTATCATACATGTATGACCATATCATTTGGATTTCTACTGACGGATCCACTAAGTAAAATGCCATTTTGATCTTTGCGTATAGTTATTGGTTATCTAGTGTTAATGGTGTGTATGGTGTTAAAAAAGTGACAGTTTCCTCCTTGGTGTAAATTCTTTCTCTTTTGGTGAATGGCATTCATCAGTAAGAGAAAAAATCCAGTAGTACTCACTCCTTTGCCATCCACCATATCCACAGGAAGTACAGGAGTGAGGGAAGTTGGAAACCTAGGCAATTATGTCATATTAGTAATATGATTGTAATAAACCCCACAAAACTGCAAATACAGAAGTGAAAGGAGAAACATAAGTATTTATGCCATAATATTTAGCAGTAGTACTAATTAGCATTTTGATTGCCTTTTTCTTATCGGTTCTGTGAAAGAAATTCATGTGAATAGCAAATAAACAAAAATAGCCTTATGGACTATAGAGAAATTCACTTCACATGGGCCTTAGTGTTACAGAATTGCTGTATGATTAACAATATTTGACATGCAGTTTGTTTTCTGTCCATGCGATTGCAACAACAGTTCCAATTGTAGCCACTTTTTTCTTTTCTTTTCCTTTTTCTTTCTTTCTTTGTTTCTTTCTTTGTTTCTGTTTTTTATGCAGAAGACCATCAAATGAATTGTCACAATACTCGAATAATGCAAGACACAGAAAAAGACGATAACAATAATGATGAGTATGATAATTACGATGAACTGGTGGCCAAGTCATTGTTAAATCTTGGCAAAATTGCAGAGGATGCAGCATACAGAGCCAGGACAGAATCAGAAATGAACAGCAATACATCTAATAGTCTGGAAGATGATAGTGACAAAAATGAAAATATTGGTCGGAAAAGTGAGCTGAGTTTAGATTTAGACAGTGATGTTGTTAGGGAAACAGTGGACTCCCTTAAATTATTAGCACAAGGACATGGTGTAGTGCTTTCAGAAAACATTAATGACAGAAATTATGCAGACAATACTTCACAGCAAGATAATAGGAATATGAACTTTGTAATGCTAGGGAAGCCTGTGAACAATGGACTTACGGAAAAAATGGTGGAGGAGAGTGATGAAGAGGTGTGTCTCAGCAGTTTGGAGTGCTTAAGGAACCAGTGTTTTGATCTGGCTAGGAAACTCAGTGAGACAAACCCACAGGAAAGAAATCAACAGCAAAACATGAACACTCGCCAGCATGTCAGGCAAGAAGATGACTTCCAAGGAAGAACACCAGACCGGAATTACTCTGATATGATGAACCTAATGAGGCTTGAAGAACAGTTGAGCCCCAGATCTAGGACTTTTTCTAGCTGTGCAAAGGAGGATGGTTGTCATGAAAGAGACGATGATACCACCTCTATAACTTCAGATAGGTCTGAAGAAGTGTTTGATATGACAAAAGGTAACTTAACCCTGCTTGAGAAAGCAATTGCTTTGGAAACTGAGAGAGCAAAAGCCATGAGAGAAAAAATGGCAGTGGAAGCTGGAAGGAGGGATAATATGAGATCATTTGAGGAACAGTCTCCAAGACACCTTTCTGGAGATGACAGGAAGCCTAAACCCAGTGACGGCCATGTCAAAAAGCCATATTATGGTAAAGGTAATATTTCTATATACCGTATGTTATGTCATGAGAAAGTGTGAGCTAACATGTTAAGTTTTGCACAGAATTCTGAAATGAGGTTATTAATTCCACGTAATGGGAACTTTATTTGAATTGTAGTAGTATGGCATGATGGTAAAATAATATCATGCTGCGGTTGTAAAATAAAAACATTCTACAGCGTTAGAAATATGTACAGTATTTCAGTGACTATCATTTGGCGAAATTAAAAAAATAATTTTTTAGGGAAACAAACCAAATAAGAGATCATGTTGAAAGAGGCAAAGATTTTTCTCAAGCTTTTAATATATTTTATAGTAATAATTAAAAAAACAATGAAGAGAATTACGTTGCAAACTATATCGGAGAGTGGGGTTTTGTGTAGCAGGTAGTCAATCAGCTATGAAGTGCATATTTTACAGATTGGATTGGGTAGGTGGCATCATGATTAATAAAATTATCATCAAATGACAGTTATTGATGAAGCCTCTCCCATCTAAAATGTAGAATTGCCTGATAGAAATTGAACAGTATCAGAATGACCGATAACATAAGATAGGGGCAGTGACTGCACATTAATTATCTTAAGATAGTAAGGTAATGGAAACCATTTGCTATGCAAGGCATGGTGTGGCCTGGGCTGAGATCAATAGCAATTTCTTTCTTATGTGCATTCCACTTCACTGGTTTCATTCCATTGTGGAAACAGTTAAGGTGCTGCCTTGACCATAATTCAATATAAAAGAAAAAAAAGAAAGAAAAAAAAAAAAAAAGACCAGACTAAAGGTTACCTTTAGAATGCCTTTTAATTTACGGGATTATCATGGTGATGGGTGTGTTTATATTACCACACCCCTCTTCAACGTGTCTGCATCTGTACATGTAGGGCTGTGTTGTATAAAGTGTTCAATACCTCCTGAGACTCATTGAACACCCCTGATTCCCATTGACTTTAGTGGAAGTTGAGGATGTGGTACTTCTTGGGAGATGCTAAGCAGGGATTGAGTTCATCTTGTATTTGTTGTAAAAATATTTGGTTTCCTTTCTACAACTGAGATGGTGGGCATTTTTCTCCTTTTTATAAATCCCTGTTTTGAAAGAGTAAAACCCTAAGGTCTGCCTGTGACATTCAGGTAGGCAGACAACATCTTGGTCCAAGAAAGGTCTTGATCTTTTTTTACAAGCCTTAAAGAAAAGTGATGACCAGTCTTTTAGAAAAGCATGGAAATTACTGATGTCAAACACGCTTCTGCAATGTATTTTAGTGAAGTTTTGTTTGTTTTAAACACAAATATATGGTCCAGTGAGTGCTGTAGTAACTTTGGGTATTTGGGGAAGACAACTTTATTTAGTTAGTGTATTACTGCATAGCCATGTGGATGTTGTGCCAAATATTGTTTGCATATGACCTATTGTAGGTACATTTCCCATTGAATATATGTCTCTACTAAAACCACAGAAAAGATGGCAAACCAATATTAATTTTTGAAGAGCTTTCTAACTCTGGTGTTCTCCAGCCCTTCCAGTCTATGTATGCCTGGGAAAGCATTTATGCATATAGATCTGCTGTCTCCAAAAAGACTATATAATTTCTGACAGTAACAAAAGTATGGACTTCCTATTTCAATAAATTCTAGAGCTTCTTTGAACCATCTTATCTCTTGGGAGTTGCAGGCTGAATTGATAATAGGTCCAAAGCCCCGGCAGGGTCTAAATATTGTGGTAGTTTGGACCAAGAAACTTTGTGGAGTAGATCATTCTATGCTCTTTTAATAAATAAAGAAAGAAAACCTTATTCCTTCCTTACTTTAAAAAACATAGGAAACATTCTGGTAGTTGTTGAGAGAGGAAGCTTTAAGGGGGACAATTGCTTGTATCATTTGTTCTCCACTCGCACATTATCTTCCAAATACTTCTGGAAGAGATACCCACAGAGATGTACGATATGGTTAAGTGGAAACTTCCGGGGTACACAAGTTTGCAGTGAGAACTACCTCCTGGCATCAGGAGTTCTGCTTTCTGAGATCACAAAAACAACTGTTAAGAGACCACTAACCATTTTTTTCCCTGCCATTTAAAGCCTTCTAAACAGGCTTTCTGAAATTTATGAATTTTAAAACCTTTTGAGTCCTCTGACAACCTTCGTTCAGGAAATACTCCCATGGTGGCAAGGAGTGAGGAAAGGTTACAGAATTAAATAAAACTATGCAATATTTCTCCCAATTAGCAGAAAAGGATTTACAAAAGAGTATCCAGTGTTTTGTATGAAGTTGTGGAAAGTCTTCCATTAAAAGCAATGGGAAATTGTGCAAATACAATTTTATGCAAGTTTTGAAATCATTAAGAATAGTATACAGCATCTTTTCTGACTCATTAGACCATAAAGGCTCTTAAGGATCTGATACATGCTATAACTTTATAGCATAGACTTGAATACAGAGGAGGATTTGCTTGACACTATAGGATGTAAGTGTGCAGATCCTCAGCTGCTCTAAATTAGAATACCTGCATTGACTTCGGTGGAGTTCTGACAATGTGGAGTAGCTAAAGTTCGTCTAGTTTAAAGTCTCTGAAAAGCCATTATGGTCTATTAACCATCTACATTTTTTGCAGTCCTTGAATATTGTTATATTTACATAATTTATATTTCATTTACATTACTTATTCACTTACCTAATACTTTTACACATCGCAAAGTACTTGACATTGAAGAGTTGCTTAGAGTTGTGGATGTATGTAGCTGTGGGCTTGCTGTTCTAGTGGTCTCAGCACAGGCCTATCTGGCAGGAATTCAAATCCCTCCTCTGACATTTGCTCCTTCTGTGGCCTTGGATTTAACTTCTTGATCTCTTCGTTTCAATTTCCTGATGTATAAGATTATGGTATTTCCAGGAGTGTTGTGATAACTGTATAGCACTTTGGAGATAGACTTGTATGTGTATTTGTTGTTAAAGAGCATGAAACAAAGAACTGTATTCTACAGTCAATATGCAGGTGAAGCAAAATAAAACTTTCATAATTAGGGATTCCATTTGCAAAAGACAAGGTTTAAATACTGTATTAAAATTTAAGAATGGATTTAAGACATGGAGAGTCATTACAATGAGCCAAAGAATTTCTCTAAAATGAATGTGTTTTGGAAGAACTTGGAATGTAAAAGTGTGCTTGTGTGTGTGTATATATATACACCTTTTAGATATATATACATACACACAAAGAGAGAGAGAGATAAGCTACCAGAGGGTAATCAAGGAAAAATGAGTCCATAACTGAATGTGAACTCTGGATTGTATCGATTAATGCTGAAAAAAATGGGTTGTATGTGAAGTTCTGCAAGTACTGAAATTTCCACTGATTGTTCTAAGGGTTGCATTTGTGGAAGCTGGGATGGAATTTAATGTAAGAAAGATTTAATGGAAAACAAGTAGCAAAATCTTATTTTCCAGAGATGAAAGCATAAATACTGAAGCAGAGCAATGACAAGAGCAGCGTAAAATACTTAAATGAGGATAGCTCAGATTGGGTATTGAAAGGAGGATGGACTAAAATAATAGAAGGGGGATGCTGGTTGATCTTGAGCCAAAATTGTAGCAGTTAGAGTATCCTGAATTTTGTTCCCTTAATACTAATATGAAAATTAGCAATAGTCTCAAAAATCTGGCAACTGTGGTCAAGATGATAAAATGTAATATGTATCATGTGCGGGGCTGGAAGGGTAGGGATGTTATTTTACAGATGTTCTGTTAAAGGAAGCAAGCTGATAAAGTATGTGAGAAAGTTCTAGTTCAGGATTAATCTCACCAGCAGTTCCACTACATTATTAGCAGAAAACTTTATTTTGTGGAAAAAATGTCTATTTAGACTTTTCATTGATTTGTAGACAGAAAATCCAACAACATTCTAAAAAAACAATAACCTTTTAAGCATATGAAACATATATGTATGTTTGTAATGGCCCAAATTTACACAACCAGTGATACTTTCAGCAATTCTGATTACAACATTTACCCCACCATGATTTATTGAAGATAAAGAAATATTTACATAATTTCTACCACTTCATAAGGAATTTAAAGAAAACAAGAGTCGTCTCCTCAGTGAGCCTTGGCAAAGGGATTTATTTGTGCTGAATCGTTGAATCATTATGCTAAAGAGCTGGGTTTGCTACTCTCGGGACATTGAACTTCTGTGACAGTACATTTGCAGGCCTTAATACATCAGGCAAATAAGAATGTAAAGAAGGGAAACTCCAACTAAACAGTTTCCAAATGACCTTACACCCTTGAGCTGATGTTTGCCAGCAGAATATTGATTGACAGTGGTATGGCTTTGCTATAAAAAGGTCACTTTCCAATCACTGTGAATGGATATTGCTGTGATCATAGGAGCCTGCAGTCTGAAAAGAAGATAACAGGATAAAAGTGACAGAACTGTGTTAAGAAGTAGAAGGGTTTTTTTTTTTTCTTCTAGTTTTCATAAGAACATTTACCAAAGAGTAAATGACATGATTAAATGAACCTTCTTACAGAAATGTGAAAAGCATCATTCACTTGACACATTTGTTGTAAATTATAGATCCCTCAAGAACAGAAAAGAAAGAGAGCAAATGTCCTACCCCTGGGTGTGATGGAACTGGCCATGTAACGGGGCTTTACCCCCATCACCGCAGTTTGTCAGGATGCCCACACAAAGATAGGGTCCCTCCAGAAAGTAAGTTCACATTGTTTCATGGAAACCGGGGATAAAACTACAAAGAGTTTTCTAGCATGCTTTTTAAACCTTTTATTTCAAAAATGAATTTCATTTTTCAGTATGGTTTGTCTCAACTTAGTCAACTGTTCTGTGTTATACTTTTTCCTTTATTCCATCATTTCCATTCTCTACTAACTTTTACACTAAAAGAACAACTTTTAAAGCTGTATTCTTTGATTTTAAGAACCCTAGGTTATTTTTAAATAGATGTATTCAGTCAACAGAGAAAAAGGTTTCCAGAAGATGTGCACTGCTTTTACTTCTGTGTGCTGATGTCACATCAACTGTCCCTGTTGTCTTGTACAGGAATAATTGTACTTGAAAAACTTGCAACCCCTTTCCTTTGTTGTTGTTGTATCTGAAACATAATTTATATTAAACTAGTTTATATTATTTAAAATAACAATTTGGCTCACAATTAGTTACACAACTCAGGATTTTGAGCAAACATCCCCTGTCAGTCAATCACATGGGTGGAATTTCATGGGTGCCACGACAGCAGATTGTCTGCACAGGAGCTTCACCCATATGAGCTCATGGATATTCACCTGAAGGCAGAGGGCTCCGTTTCTGGAAGTCACCTCCTTGGCTGGTGGAATCAGCATGGTTCTGTTGAAGCTAATTGCTGATTTACACCTGTCGAGCGTCTAGCTGAGATCCAGTTCTCTTTCACACCAATTTTAAACTGGAGTTATTCCACTGAAGCCTATGGGCCTAAAATCCCCACTGTCCATCAGGACTTACAGACATAACCTCAATGGATTTACAACAGCCTAAAGGAAACGTTACAAAGACAGTCAGGGCTAAAATGGTCCCCAGTTTCCAAAGGAAACTCGATTCTGAAGGATAGGAAAACAGAAGTACATTAGCACACCAAGAGTGACAGACATAAAAAGTCTCCTCATTCATGGTAGAGTGGCTTCTTCCAGAAGTAATGAGGAAGTGCTTTAGGAAACTTTGCTATATCTTGGTTGATCTCTGAATACAATAGAACAAATAGAGTAATTTCTCTGCTTTGCAAGACCCTATAATTTTCTGAAACAAATATTTATTCAGTTGCTCAAAGTTCTCTGGTTTTTACAAATGGTAAATAAAAAGCTCTTTAGAAGACTTTGTAAATCAAAGAAGAATATAGCTTTAAACTGTTTGCATGCTCTTGTACCTACTAAAATGAAAAAGGTGAGCTCATCTTTTTATTTTTTTCCTGTGATGTTGGCCTTGTGAAGCATGTTTCAAGAACAGCTTTGAATAGTAGGAATTTCAGAGTAAAGCTTTGCGTCTATACATGTTTTAGTTCACTGATGATGGGGTGATGATGATGGTTATCTTTTAATCAGTATACTTGATTAAATTCTCAAGTCTCTGAACAGCTTTTATTCAGTTCTTAACTCAGTCAAGGAATTTGCTGGTTTTATTAGACCTCTTTTTGAGTGAGAACTAAATACAGGCTTCCAGACTAGTGCTTGTATGAGAAAACCAGAACTTTGCAAGGGCTGGATGGCCTTTTTCCACAGAGTGATGAACTGCCATCCAGCTCTGAGACATGGATTTGGATATGTCTCATATCATACAAAACTCTTTACTGTTAACCAAAAAGTTCTTGATAATTTGGCACTTCATAGCATGAGCTTTTTGATTTAGAGGGGTACTGCTCTGAGTGGCCTTGGGAGTTTTCCATCCAGCTTGCAATGGATGCAGATATAAATCAGTTTACTTGCTTAAGCTAGTACCACTTATTCCTTTTTTACACAGTTTTCTTTTTTTTTTTTTTTTCTGCCATCCCTCAATTTTTTAAGTGCTTATTTTTAGTTTTTAGTCTTTTGGAAAAAATCTCTACCCATTGCAATTTTCACATTTGTAGAGTACGAGTAAAAAGTAAAGGACCAGTTCTGCTCTTCATATAGATATGAGTGATGTATCTATGTGGAAGTGGGCAGAACTGGCCCCTAGCTCAATTGGGCTGTCTTATAGTTAGGGTTAAATTCTGTTTAGGGTTGTACTGAGGTGTGTTTCAAATAATTCAGTGTTCTACCGGTATAACTTGAGAGCAGATTTTCAGCTCTTGAGTTTGATACTATGTGTGTATAAAGCTATGCATTATGAATGCATACATTTAATGAAAGAATTTTTCTAGTCCATAATTTTGTTTTGGGCAGTTGCTAGCTCACACTTTACTGTTGAGCTGATCTTTGCTCAGTGTTTTTGTATGAAGAAGATGTTGGAAGTCTTCTGCTTCACTGTTGCACCAGAGATGCATTTGTTTATAGGTTCTGTAACCTCCATAACTTCCACTGTTGCCCTGTGTTAATGAGCATAGGGTCACGATACTTACTTCCCTCATCAGGCTTTATTGGCTATGTGTGTCACGTGTATTTTGAGGAATGCTGGTTGTTAATGAATCCTGCTTTGTTTTAAAATGATTTCATATATACTGGGATTTGATTTTTTTTTTCTTGTTTTCATACTCTGCTGTTTTCTCTTACTCTCCTTGTCAAGTTCTTGCCATGCATGAAAATGTTCTTAAGTGTCCTACACCAGGCTGCACAGGCCGGGGCCACGTAAATAGCAACAGGAATTCTCACCGAAGGTAAGGATGCCATCGCTGGACGCCAATCTAGAGGGAACAGTGCCTCCGAACTGCGGCCCTTCTAGCAGTCCATTGGCGGGGGGGTGTGAGTGTGTGTTTCGTTGTTTTGTTCTTAAGATTGACAGATGGTGCTTCGTGTGCTTTATCCATTTTAAAGAGTAACATTTATTCATGTATTTTCTGAGGAAGACGAGTGTGCGTTTGCTTCAGTATGGATGAATTGATCCACAGAAGACATTTTAAGCATCCTTTAGCTTTTTGGGTGGATTTTTTTTCTTTTTCTTTCAATATTAGCTGAACAGCAGTGGTATGAAACGAATGGTATGACTCCTTATGGGTATGTCGCAGGGAGAAGGAAGAGTCTGCCAACATCAGCAGGACTAGGGCAGAGTTCTTGTTCTCACACTTCACTCTCTTCAGGGCTTATTTTACAGTGCACGAAAAAATCCGCTCTACACCTAAAAATTATTTTTTTAATACATGAGAAACAGCATTTTAAGTACGCAGACTTTATGAGAGTTAGCTTTCTTACTGACCACAGTCTCAACCCCCAAGTCCTTATTCAGCTAAAAGTTAATGAGAAATTTGCCTCTTTAAGAAACATTATGAAAATGTCTCATTAAATTTAAAAACGGGAAGCCAGAAATGTTAGATGTAAATATTCTAGCCAGACAAAAGGAGATCAAATAAAAAAGCAACTTTTCTATATTTTCCTAGGATTAGTAGTAGATTCTTACAAAAGGGATGCCATTGCCTATTAAATTTTGTTAAACAAATAACAAAATTATCAAATTGTTGCTGTAATTTTTAGTACATGTCATAGTTTTCCCACAGAACAAGAAGATCTTGCTTATTTCTTTACAATTTAAAAAAATCCAGGTAATACGGGTAAGAGAGCAAAAGGAACTATGCAAAGTTCCTACTATTGAATTCCTTTTTTTTTTGTTGTTGTTGTTGTTGTTGTTAATTGCAGCATGAAGGCTGAAGGGACTACACGGGTACTGGATGTTCAGTCTTATCAAGCTCTGGGTTACTAGAGCCCCTTGTATTAACCACATGTCTCCTGGAGGACTCTTGTGGGTACCAACCCATCCGCAATAAGCTCTGGTCCCCCTTTCTTCTCTGCAGTGATGCTGCCAGTAGATGCAGCAAAAACCTCTGAGAAGGCTTTATGGGAATTACTGCTGCTTGATGCAGCTTTCACTTCTGGTTGAATAGCTACTAGAATATTTGAGGTGTCTGAAGAAGAGCGTGTCAGTGGAGCGCAGCTGCCCTCTGGCATGACTCCAAAACTGCACAGAGCCCCCTCACCCCTCTGCAGAACTAGGGCAGCCAGGGAGGGCTGGGGGAGCAGTCTGCAGCCTGTGCTCACCTCTTTCTGCAGCTTTTGGGGCATTTTGCTCTGCTTCACTTTTTTTTATTCTTTTTTTTCCCCCCCTTATTTACTGTAGGGAAGGGAACATCTGGGAATGAACTGATTTGCCTTTCATTTTAATTTCTTTTCCTGTGGAGAACACAGAGAGCTGCGGTCACATAAGCACGCAATAGACTATGACAAGGAAAGGACCCCCTCCATTGTCAGGTCACAGGTTTTTACAGCTTCACTAAGAGCACCATCTGCTGGCATCAATATATTTATTTTTCCCTGTTCTAAATCTTTTCCAGAAGACTGCAGAAGTTCTTTTCACGTTACGTCATCTACTGTTAGAAAACACACTTTAGTGGCTGAAATTCATGAACATTTAAACGCTAAGTATAATGTAGTTGAGACATAGACTTAGAGACCCAAGGCCAAATTTTGCACTCATTTATATGCCTTGCAAAAAGATTGGAGTTAATGGAGCTGAATGAGGTGTGAAGCCATGCAAGATTTGGCCTATATGGTGGTGTCATTTAATCATCTTCAGGAGCCATTTCATTGGCAACATTTGTAGATGCATAAAGGTCGCAAGTCTGCTAGCAGAGCTGCAGAGTAGATTCCAGTTTATATTCTCCTCTCCTACTGGTACATTCACTGGCTGACATCCATGAATAATCTACCCATGTACAGTCAGAGAAGAAGCGCAGATGTAAGATCTACCATGCAACTTTGAAAGCAGAAGAAAGGAAGTCTATTCTAGAAAAAAATACATATGACCAAAAAGCTTTTGGAAACTTTTCCTTCAGATTCTTCCTGATGCTGGCTAAGGAGGAGAAGGAGTAATTGGATCAGTGCTATAATGTGAAACTACACAGGACAAGACAATTAAATTTCCTTTCTGTAATTGCAGCCTCTCTGGATGTCCTATTGCTGCAGCAGAGAAACTGGCTAAAGCTCAAGAGAAGCATCAGAACTGTGATGTGTCAAAATCAAACCAGGCATCAGATCGGGTTTTAAGGTATTAGAAATCACTATAATACTTATTATTATGCAGAATTCATCACACATTCACCTAATCTGAGAATTTATATACGTTGTATATACATATATATCTCCTTTAAAGAAGAGTTAGAATTAGGGCTTCTGGATCCAATTCTCACAGTGTATATTTCCCACTCAATTTACATGGGGGAGGGTTGGTAATTATTTTGGCAAATACATGTAAAGCTGAAAAGCTCATTTTTGTCTTAGGCATTGTTTGGTGTAAAGATGACTGCTGGAGTGCAAAGTCTAAGAACAATGTGAAAAAAGTTGGTATCTTTTGGGAATAAACTAATATTTACCGGTAAGTCTTGGTTTTTTCAGCAGGCTTTTACTAGTAAATATCAGTTTAAATTAAACCAGAAGCCCTATTTACATTACCAAACTGGTAGTACACCTTTTGGCAGGACACCTGGAAAAATGCCAGGTATAGTTTAGATTCCAAAATAAGGTCAGGCTTAGTTCTTTGTCTCTGTTCCCCCACTTGCTGCCAGGAAGGATGGAAAGAGAGGAAAATTGTCCTAAATTTTCATACGGAAGGGACCTTGAACCAATTTGGCACAATTATACCCCTTATCTTCATCCATGTAGGATTCTGTATTTATCCAAAGCTGTATCCAGCTTTGTGTGTTGTCTCCTCTTTTGAGATATGTGGGTGGAAAAAATATTATTTCTAAGGAGCTGAAGTGTGAAGGATACATGTAAAGGAACTAGACTTCTGCATGATTGTACCAGCCTTATGCTGATGATGCCCCAAGAGCTGCAGAATTTCTCCATGGATACTGTGGTATCTGTGGGCTGGGATAGGTACATCCCTCCCAGCTGCTTCAAAGAGCGTGGAGGAAGTGCCGCAGCTTTAGTTCCCAGAATTCCTACTTATCCCATAGGTTTCTTAATATTTAGCTGTCTTCTTGATCAAAATCTGATAGGGCTGCTTAAAAAAAAAGTTTTCTACTGTATTATCAACATCATTCTTTGAATATTCTCTTAAAACTTCATCTCATCTTGATGGTCTTTTCAAAAACCAGTCTTTCCATAGGGCTAAGAACACAGAATTATGGCCCTCATCTACAGAAGATTTTTGGTTGTGCTTGTTGACTTTGTTTTCCTTCCTCAGATTGTTTTTGATGGGCGTTATCTTAACTGCCCCTAATTCCGACTGTACAATTTTTCATACAGTATCCCAAAGAGTTTTCTTAGAGAAGGGTTCTTCAAAACCTATTAATAAAAAACAACCTTTGAGAGAATAACAGTTTCTCACTTGACACAAAAAGACAGATCAACAATGCAGTGCCTTTTACCACTGCTCATTTGAGGGAAGCCACTGAAGTCAGACGCCGTACAAAGGAGGCAACTGCTCAAAAGCAGCATCCAGTTTTCTGGCAGACTCCCTAGGAAGTTGTGCTGCAATCTTAACTTTGCTTGTGAGCCTGCCCTGTGTCTCAGATTTTATAGACAACGCAAATAATGCTTTCATCTTGTCTCCTGCTTCCCTCTTACTTTTAAGTCATAGAAGTAGTTAAGATGAAGAACTTGGGAGCTATTTATAATATTTGCATGCAGGCAACTGATGGGCAGAGAGAGATGTTCTAAGAGTAAATCTTGAATATTTGTCTTCATCCCAGTTTCCATCCCACCTGCATTTAAAATTTCTTACTTAAAAAGAAATCAAATTCACAGGACTTCTGTTCCACAGAAATTTTGGATTTGCATTCAATGTACAGGATCTGAATTGCAATTTTTTTAGCTAAATATAGTTTATCTTGAGAAGAATCAAAATATTATTCATATCAGCTCATTGTATGAATGAGCCTATGGTATTTTGTGAGGAAGAAGTATCTAAAGGAATGAGCATACATAAATCAAAGGGAATAGTATGACTAATGTGATTTCTTGGGTTTACATTTACATTTCTTGGGATTTACATAAATATCCTGACTAAATTCTATGAAAATGAATTCATTCAGAAAAACATAACATTCAAAACCTATTTCTTACTATTTATCACATTCCATTTTGTCAGTCAGCATGATGATACTTCTGGTCTTGACTGAATTTATGTTCCTACGAATGTTCCTTCTATTTCCTCTGGTCATAAATGCAGTAAAGAAAAAAAAATAGAAAAAGAAAAAAGACTTGATTATATGATTCTTGATTTCAGCAGAAGCACCTCAGGTGTGCTGTTCATCATCTTTAGGTAGACATGCACCACTCTAGCATTTGCTCTCTATGACCCAGTCATATAACACTTTCTTATATGGGTAAGGTTTGCAGGATCTGACCTTCATTTACCTGCTTTGAGAGCTGATGGCTTCTGTTTCCACACGCAGAAGACCATGTGACAGTGGAGACATTCACTACAGCATCCTTTCACTGAGATTTCACAAGTTTCTCCGATGGCTGAATGAGATCAGTCAGGGCTTCTCCTGACTATCCTCCCCAATCCTAAACGAAAGAGAAATTTAGCTAATACAGTTTTATTCTGTGTTCATTCGCAGCACCTTCCTTGACGTGTGTATCTGTGTATTAGGAATCGCAGCTCCTGCCAGAACCTTGCACTTAAGGGTGAGCAGGATCTGCAAGGCAGCAGCTCAAAGTCAACAGAGATTGTGAGACTCTCCTGTGTATTTCTGGAGACGAACATGGATTTGTATATTGAGGGCTGAAACAGGACTAGCTCCTTTGGAAAGCATACAGGAAAACAGCATACAACTCCACTGAAAGAAATTCAGAGGAAACCCTGTAAATTAAGTGGAGCTTCCAGTGCTATTTTTTCTTTTTGACATTTAAAGGAATTTGTCCAAACTTCTTCTGTCATTCTGCTTGCCCCTCTTTAATTCACCTCCCAAAAGAGAAAATGTTTGCGATGTGATGCAATTACATGGGGAAAGGGAAACCCTGAAGTATTTTAAAACAGAATTTTAAAATACTTTTAGCTACAGGGTGCATTTAGTAGTATTAGAATTAATTTTGTCTAGGCTTTGTTCAAGAAAAGATATATTGTTTGTCTGCTGAAAATAACCAAACTAAGCAAATGCAATAATATATTGCTGTCTCTTGAGTACCAGAAATAACTAAGATTTTCTAATCTGAACTATAAATTATGCACAGACACAGTAAACTGAACTGCATCTAACAAACTTTACATATCTTTAATTTCTAGGCCCATGTGCTTTGTTAAGCAATTGGAGATCCCTCAGTATGGCTACAGAAACAATGTCCCCACCACCACACCCCGCTCCAACTTGGCCAAGGAACTAGAGAAATACTCTAAGACTACGTTTGAATATAACAGTTATGACAACCATGCCTATGGCAAGAGAGCCATAGCTCCCAAGGTGCAATCCAGGGATATATCCCCCAAAGGATATGATGGTAGGAGGTGCACACTCTTATACATGAGAGACAAGTTTGCAGTTAATCATGTTGTTGTATATGTAAACATCATACAAAATAAGACATGTTTTCATGTTCATATAGTATTACGAGGAATGCTGTCATGTGTAAGTTATTTTAAAGGCCGTTTTAAAAAGCGTGGTTTTATATGGTGCTTGCTTCAGGATTGTTGCACTGGCAAAAGAACATCTCCAGCTATTAAGCTCCTGGGATGTGTTGAGATTGCAATAAAAGCTAAGTAATAGAGCTAGTCCTTATGTTGCTATCTGGGAGACCTGGCCTCAAGGGTCACATCAGGATTCTCGCTTCCGTACAGTAGTTCAGGTAACCCATAAAGGTAACATAGTTGCTCTGTGGGGATATGGAAGTAGAAAACCTGGATCTCATTGCACTTCAGAAATCACTGCTGCTTACTTAATGAGGCATTTCTGCTCATTTTGTCCTCATGAATACACCTGTTGAACTCTCTGGAAAACCTAACATAAGTAACATGCTTAGGAGTAGGCTGAAAGTGGCTTCAGTTCAAGAGAAGGCAGTGGATGGGGTCTGTCAGGCAAGAGGATTTTTATTAGGGGAGAAAAATGAACTGCAGGACAAAGAACAAGGATTTGGATTGTAGCTTTCGAGGACATCAGGAATTTTTCAGAGCAATACAATTATATGTGTATATATATTATATGTGTGTGTGTATATATATAAAAAAACAAACTGTGCCTTTATCTTTTTTTTTTCTTTCTTTTTTTGAATGTTAACAGATTATTTTTTGGTTAAAATATTTGATGCTACTGACTGACTACCATAGGAAATTTCAGGCAGGTGTCAGATTTTTGTTTAGGGAAACAGAAATAAATACACTAGATAGAACAATTTACAGTGTTGCCTGAACAGAGAGTCTGACATTCAAAAGTAGGTAAGTGGAGAAAGGGAAAATTGCTACAGCTCTTGCCTTCATATTTCTGATATTTTGGATATTTTGCTTTCTCATGGAATGAACAGGCATGTTGTTGCACTATAGCAGAAAGGAGAAGGGTCGTGAAAGGCAACGTATTTTTGAGTAAGAGTGCCCTTTTTTCTTCTCTCATACACTCACCTTGTTTACCTGTATCAGAATAAGGGCTTGAGCATTATTAAAGGTAAAGCACTAACTGTAACTGTGGTTAGTAAGCTAATGAGTGTACATTAGTATAAGGTAAATGAGATATTAACTGTTGTGTATATGCTCTGTCTATTCTTGCAGAAAGGAAAGAATCAGAGTATTGCTGGGGACCCTGTGGACATGCATATTTTCAGATCAAATTACTGATGCTTAAGCAACTGATACCTATTTTTCTCATTTAAGACTCCCTTTTCAGCAAATAATTATAAACTGCACTTTTTTTCCCAAATCACCAGAACTTGAAAATACTTGTAATATTAAACACAAGTTTAGCAAGTGGCCTTAAATAACGAAAGGCTAGGGTGATACAGGTCACCGTCTTTATGAGCTCTCATTTTCCTTTGATATAAATAGGAATTTTGCTTGGAGATAAGATTGGGACTAGGTTGCTTCACTGCTCAGAAACGTGAGCCAGAGAGGGGCACTGTATACACCCAGGGATTCATGCTGGGGCAGCAAGTGTCCTTGGTTCTTGTGTACTCAGGACAGCTGAAGTCTGTTGTAGCTGGAGCAAGCTGTTTGCCACATGAAGGCTAATTCCCTATGGATTTGATCCATACCCATGGCTCTGCGGGAGGCAGCACACGCTGTACCTGGTTCCAGGTGATGTGTGTGCTGTTTGGCCAGACAGACGTGCCGACACAGTCCCAGAGATGGGACCTAATTCAAGTTTTTCCTTGAACCCTAGCAGTGATGTTCATGAAACCTGTAGGGTTTACATCTCTCTGATATTCCACAAGCACTCCATCATACTTGGCTTAAATTGGCAAAGGGTTTCGAAGTTCCTCAGGAAAATCAGCTAAATTCATAGAACGATGGCATGAAGTCCCAGGCACTCCAAAATCAGTCAAAGTTTTGGTACTGACTTTCAATGGGACAAGGACTTTGCTGACAGTTATTGCAAATAACTGAATATGAAAAAGATTTCATAAAAAAAGCCTTCACTTAAAAGAGTCACTTTTCTTCAAGAAACTTTGCAGTATTTCTAGGTGATTTCATATTTGTGTGTTAAAAAAATTATTAATTATTGCTACTAAAGCCATTATGGAAGTAGAAAATGCACACCTATTATGTATATCAGCAAATATATTTCCATAAAAGCAGATTTAGTTCTGAAAAGTCATCCTGAAAAACCTGAAAGTAAACCTCAGGTTTTGTGGGAACTTGCAAGTAAACAGCACTTCAGTTCTTCTGACTATTTGAGACAAATAGTCTAAGGATCTGGAAAAAATCAATAACTTCATGTCTCAATCCCTTTTTAATTGTAAGTTAGCACTGTATTTTCATCACCGGAGAAAGGGATTATGTGTTCAATAAGTGTATGGTTGTGAGTGACATGAACATAAATAGCTCCTTTGGATTGTTTTCTTGATTTTTTTTCCAGTAAGCTTTAGTAAAAAATAAACAGAAAATGGATACTTATGGGGTAGGATGCTCTGATGATTCTTGAGAAATCTTGTGTTTGTGGGCTTGTTTTTCCTTTGAAACCAGTTTCATAGTGTATGGGATGTTGGGATTATGGTATACAGCAACAGAGATAAAAACAGCTGGGCACAGCAGGCGGAGGAGACAGCAGCCCTTTCAGTTGTGCAGGTGCTGGCAGGAGCTCCTCTCATCCCACCAGTAGGACTGGGTCCTTCCATCAGAACACTGAGAAAATGTTAGGAGTGGGATTCATCTGACCGTATCTAGACTTCTATAATGTCAACACCTCGATCTGAGCTTGTTTGCCCTTTCACATCCAAGGAGAAAGTTAGACACTTCCCTGATGCAGTTCATCTCCTCCTGAAGTACGTACTGGTCAGGGAAATCATTGCCTGAGAGTTTCTATTTTTTCCACGGCCTGTAGGAGAAGCCTGAAATGACTGGGTCAGGTATCTGAAGTTAGGTGAGATGAATCTCTTATTGTGCAAGTTGGAAAAAGTGTTGTAACTGTAATTAATTTACATAACATATTCAGTGTTTAGGCAATACCAGGGGTGAGGGTGTCTGGGCAGAGTTCAATTCCACTCCAAATATCTTAGTTTCGTCCTTCACGTTGTTGGGATCTCTCCCACTCCTCCATTACTAATGAGCAAGAGGAGCCTGTACAAAGAGAGGTTCTCTGTAATCAGCCCCCAGGCACGTCTGGCGGGAGGCCAGTCTGGGTATGCAGCTGGTTGGACCTGTGTCTGTTATTTAATGGGAAAGGCGTTCTCCACATTTTATTTCACTGTGGATCAAAAAGCGCAGGGGGACTGCAGAGTTTCCAAAACCTGGTGCCACAGAGTTGGGCGACAGTGAGCAGAATTATCTGGTATTGAGACAACATCTTGCCCTTTGTTAGGGATCTACTTGATTTAGTTCATTATAAATTGGTGATCTTTGTTTTTCCTGAAAAGCTAATGTGAAATGAACAGTCTGGGTTACGCGACTCATCTTTAAAATGTACAACTACAGTAAAGTTAAAATGACCATGGCCATTTCTCTCTAAGTGAGTTTCTCTTAAATTATTGGTAATCTAAAAGCTAATAATTGTGTAGCATGCTTATAGCACTTTACATCTTCAAAGTGTTCTACTAGTGAATCACAACACAACTAAATTTTAGAAGCTACTTTCTATTTATAGGGAAAATTAATTCGAGGGATAATATAGTTTGACCAAGGCCACAGAGGAGTCCATATTAGAGCCTGC